ATTTATTAGGTTATTTTATAAATTTGTTGTAAAAAGAGAAAATATCCAGTCAGGAGAACTGAAAATCCCTTGCTTCTTCCAAAGGGAGTAAAGAATTCAGGCTAAAACACAAAGTGAAGTCTGTTTCTGGAGGCAATCCAGCCCTACCAAAAGCCACTGGAAATCTTTCCATTGACTTCAAGAGGAGATATATTGGGACCTTAGTGTGTTTTGGAAAGCTGAGTCCAATATCTTCATTGAATTAAATAGAGGGATTCTCCATTTCAATTAATTACTATAGAGCAATACTTTGTTTATGAAAAAATGAAGAAAGGCTCTTGCGCAAGAGGGGGGTTTTGTGCAAAAAGGAGCCATCTACACAGCTCCTTTTTGCGCAAAAGCCTCTTGCGCAAAAACGGCCCCTAATTAATTATACAAATGAAGTGTGGCAATATTCTACTTCACACTTCATTTGCATAAGCTTTTGCAGAAGAAGGGTGCAGTATAGACGTAGTCTAAAAGTCAGACAGTATAACTGCTGCTTGTCAGCCCCTTTTCGAAATATAACAAGCTCGCTATTCCAACGTCCGTGTAAACCTCATTCCAAATTTCAAAATAAGTTATTTTGAAATTAACTCGAAATAAGCTACACAAATTGCGAAGCTCAAAATGTGTAGCTTACTTTGAGCTAAGGGTGCAGTATAGATGCACTGTTGATGTAAGATCAACTTCTCCTCCTTCATGTATTTGTTGATGGAGCAGGATTGACTAATCTAGATTGTTTTTCTCTCAGATGTTGGTTGCTAGGTATCTAACAGGGAAAAACAATAAAGCCAGGTAAAGCTGATCACATCACAGAATGAAGTGCCAGCATGAAAAAGTATCTGTCTGCCAAATAAAAAGAAGAAAATAATTTCTATGGACAGTGTAATGGATGGCAAATAATATTTATAGAGAAGTCACTTATTGCTTGCTCATGTGCAAGGACATGAGAAAAAAGTTCCAGGTTTTCATTGTACCTGCATGCTGTCAACAAGTGCTCAAAGGTTAAGATGATGTTCTTAAAACCACTCCAGAGCATTAGAACCAGCTGGTACTCACTGGTTAGCATAGGCCTCAGGGAATAGCCACTGTCATTCAAATACCGCTATTTGCATCATTTGCACATTACTGTTGATTAATACTCTCCTTTACAATAGTAAAAAAGTATCCGTAAAACAATATCACTAGTCTGAAGTGCTTACCACTAGAGGCAAACAGGTACATTACAATAAATACAAGTACAGGCAGTCCCCGAGTTATGCGGATCCGACTTATGTCGGATCCGCAGTTATGAATGGGGCTTTTCTCGCCCCGGAGGACGCAAGCGGCAGGACGCCCAGATGCGCTGCGGTCCCACCGCCCGCGTCCTCTGGGGCGAGAAATGCTGCTCCGCGTCTCCCTGGTCTGCTGGGGGGGAGTCCCCCCCAGCAGACCAGGGAGACGCGGAGCAAAGCCTCTCCCCCCCTCGGCGCGGGTGGCGGGAACCAGGCGTT